GGAGCAAGGGGGAAAAGGCTATGATATAAACAGCATTGGTATTTGTGGAATCTGTAAACAGACCATGGATGTTCTCTGGACTAAAGGAAACAAACTGCTGAGTCTATGTCACAGTTGTTCTGATAAAGTCAAAATGATCACTACGTAATTACACCCACTGGGAGAGAAACACTGCGTCGGCCATCTGCACAAATGCTGTCATTAACTATGAGCCACACAGGACACACACCCGCATACGTCCATGTTGTTTTTTGTCATTTGTCCACACACAGGCTGTGGATGAGAGGGAGAGGATGGTGTGTGAGGTCATCCCGGTGTCTCAGTAAACATGTTTATCATCGTCATAAACCTTATTATAAATTCCTTTCTCTGTCTGCCTCTCTGGTCTGGCTTAATAACGGCTAGTGAAGACGCTACTGGTTCCCATGGCAACTGTTACCAAGGGAGCAGAGTCTCTCATCTTGTTAAGTGCATTTCTGAGCTATAGTTGAGCTAGGTGTGTGTGTGTGTGTGTGTGTGTGTGTTAGCCTTGGATGTGGAATAGAAGCATATGAAGAGATGTAGCAGTATGGGGGAGGATTTTGCACCTCTGATTCTGAGGCAGTTTTTGTTAAGAGACGCGATAATCTGTTTTGTCTTGAGCTTTTTTTAGATTAGTTATTGAAATCATTCAACTGGAGAAGCAACGTTCTGGGGATTTTTTTGAGTTTGCTCAAGGGTGGAAATCGAGAGTGACAGTGATCAAGGCATTGTCAGCTCTCAATGATACGCCCACGTTCTCTTAGGTTTCCAGTTTGTTGGGATTTATTTGCAGTTTTCCTTTAAGAGTCACAAACCAGGTGTTGAGTCATTTTCTTTTTCTGTTTCTGTCAAACACACGCACAGAAGCGTAAATGCCCTAAAGTGTTGTAGAGGCTATTGAGAAATCCAGACTAATGTTTGTGTGGTAATAAAGTGGGGAAGAATTATTCATCAGACACACACACACATTCTCACACTCATTCTGCCATCATATGTTTGTCACTCAGTTTTACCAGAAGCTAAAAAGAGAGGAAACAGGGCTTCTCACTTAACAGCCACGGCCAGAGGCAAGAAAATATCTTTTCAAGTCAGTTGACAGTTTGGTCTTTGTTGACGAGACTTGTTAACGGCACGTGAGTTCAACTCATGACTCTCACAAGATGACTGTGTGTCTGAGGTGTATTTCCGGAGCCATAAGTGAAACAGGTTAGATTTCTGAATTGACTCTTATTGTATTAGTCACACAAGATCACTTTTGTCTTTTTAACTGTTATAGACACACAAACACAGTATTTGTTCAACAGGAAGCCACAGCCTTAAACCCTTTCCCAAGGCCTTCTCTCTTTCTTACACAGACACACACACCCCAGACCCCTCAGGGAGGCCTACATCCTGTGGCTGTGACGACAACTTCCTCTCCCGAGCTCTGTTCCCCTTCTCTGTAACGTCACACACGTGCATCTGATCTGTGTGTTTATGTGTTCGATAGAAAAAAAGATGCACCACACTAACCCTGTGACATGTTGTCAGTCACAGCCTAGATGTCAGGGTGCTGAGTGCAGCAGACAAGAGGGGCCTCATGTTTCTCCTTTTTCTCTACCAGCCCCCCCACCCCCTGCTGTTCCGTGTTTGGTCTCTTTTTCCACAGGCAGATGATATGTAGGCTAACTGTTTCTCACAGAGGGCCCAGAAATCAACTTTTTCATCTTGGTAAAGGCTTTGCAGTTAAAGTGTTTCTTAAGAATCAAAACATGGGTGGAAAAAAAGGTGGTGACAAACCAAGCAGCATATTAGCAGGCTGATCACCAACAGCCAAATCAAGACAGCATTCCCACTGACTGCTAAAATAAAATGCAATGTCAACCTAGCAAAGGTTAAATGTGAAGTCTTGCAAATTGTCCTCCCTTCTGTACTTCTCTCTGTCGTGGCCTGAATGTAGAGCAGATGTAGGGGGGCACATACAAGCCAAGAGGAGACACTATAGGACTATTAGGAGCTTTTATCTTGCCTGTTATGGCTAGCTGGCGTGCTGCTGCTGAGCAGAGAAGGTCTGGTTGTAACTTGGTGAAGGGTTAGCACAGCGCTCTGTCCCCTGGATGCAGGTTGGGTTGTTGAGGTGGATGCTAGCAGGAGATAATGATCGGTCACGGAGGTCAGATGCTTCGGTGTTTGTGTGCAGGAACAACCTGCTTGCTTTGTCCTTGGCTGACAGCCTTTTGATTTTGTGTGAGTGTGCAAGGATGTGCGTAAGGATGTGAATAGGATGAAGTTAGCCCGCATCACTTTTGGAACGGCATGCACTGACGTTCACACACATACAAACAAACACATGCGTACACAGACACACACAGGGAGCCTGGCAACGAGGTGGAGGCGGACAAATGCAGGGGCTGGCTGTTCCTCTCTGTGTGTAAGAAAGTGAGAGAAATGCATGGTGTTTCCTCTTGAACATGATCTCTATCTGGGACTGATTATGTAATGGCCAAATGGACTAGAAAGGGCTAGGGAGGACAGAGTAAGACAGAGGGGGAGAGAGATATGCATAGCCTTTTTTCCATCATACTCAGCCAGAAGCTCTCTGTTTTCTCTTTTCTGCCACTTCTTTCAGCCTTATCTGGTCATTTCTTATCAGACAAGCTCTGCAGTGACTAGTCAGGACAGTAAAGGACTCCAGCTGTCGGCCATTACCCCCTTAAACTCTTCATTTCTCTGTCATTGTTCATGTGGTTTCTCAAACACTCCATTTGAGCCGTCTTCTTACCATTTTATTTATTGTTAAATATTTCCCTAAGGTAGTATTTGTCAGCTTTTGGGGGTTTTTTTGTCTCATGATGCAGAATAAAAGAAGAATTTTTACATCGACAGATGGATATTTGAGTGTATTTCCTCACTGCCCTCCCATCCCTCTCTCACCAGTCATTTTAAACTCACGGCCTCAGTGTGGTTTTCTGGCTGGAGACCAGTAAAGGCCAGTGGCTGGGAGGAGAAGGTGCGGGTGAATAAGACGACTGCACAGAGACAGACATCATTTGAACAACTTAATTTCAATAATTTGCTCGTGTTAGTGACTATGTAAGCGTCCCTGTTTATAGCCACAAGCTTGTGACTTTGGTTAGTCTGTCACGTGGGATTACTGTGGATTTATTTAGTTTTGCGTGTGTGTGTTTCTTGGTAAAACGCCACAGAGGATTCAAAGGGGCTCCTTTATTTTTTTTGTCTAGCCTCACGGTTGGTGTGGTTGACAACAGTTGGCACAGCTTTGTCTGCTTGCCAAAGCTTCCTGCTTGGCCCCGCCTCCCAGCTGATAGCTGGCGTTGCCAGGACAATGAGCAACTTGCGTAACTACGACAACGAGGGCATTGACAGGAACCAGACTCTTTGATGCCTGATGTGGATGGGGGAATTCAGGTGAACAAGATGAACCATGTGGGTTTTTTATATAACAGTGAATTATGTCATCTGTTTGGAAATAAATGATAAATACGTCATTTATTTACACAGAGTAAAAGAGTGGTTTAACATAATTGAAGTCAATGTACTTAAATTACTTTCACTTAACCTCAGTGTTCTAGAAAAGGACTGCAGCCTGTTGTGGTTAGTTCGAGGTTAAAATGAGGGTGTTCAGGGCTGATTGCTCAGGAGATCTCAACGTTACGTGAATATTTGTGTGAAAGTGATCATCAGCGTGATCAACATCATCTCTTTAGACGTGACCTCATCATTTCTCTTGAAATTGTGGTTTGATTCCTCCCCCTGCGATGAAACCCCCCTGTAGCTCATCACATCCTGTTTGCTGATCCAAACACGCATACACAAATCAACCAACACGATGTGATGCTTAGGAAGCAGAAATGATATCACAAAGTCTGAGAAATTCCCACAGTTGACACATCTGCAACGGTGCAGAAACACGCCCCCGGTCACCCAACTGTGCGTGGTCTCCCATGAGGGCGGAGTTTGGGGCAGCAGTGTGGGGTAAGCCCTCTTCTGAGGGCGCTGAGTCAGCGGGGATCCCCCAAAAAATGATATGCATAACACTCACACGGTCTGGCAGTTTTCTCCTCTCTCACACTGAATCCTAACTCATCGCTGTGATAACTAAGTTTCATGGCTTTGGTATCATCTGATAGAACCTGAGCTGCTACATAATGCTGCCTGGCATCTGTGTACACTATCTGGTTTCAGAGTAGTTTCTCACAGTGTGCTGGTGGAGTAGCTGTGAGCAACGTGATAGCCAGGATAGCAGCTGGAATAGACGACCATTTGGTTACAACAGACATAAACACACACCCTCTATAAAAGTGGTAATTACAGCCTCGGCAGCGTGTCCCTGTTTGCACTCTCAGTCACAACCAGCTCTCTTTGCTTTCTCTTTATAACTTTTTCTAATTTAAACCTCCCATTCTGTCTCTCTCTCGCCTCTCTCTTTTCCCATAATGCCATGTGTTTTATTATTTTACTACGTTTCTGCAGCGCTACACTTTCATGTGATAGTTGACTTAGCGCTGCTCTTCCTGTTAGAGCGAGACCAGCCTTGTTTGCGTCTTCACTTGCCTGTTAAGCTGCACAGTCAGACTCACCATTGTGTCTATCAGAAGAGAGAGAGAGAGGGTGAGTGAACGTGGAACAGGACCCCCCTCGTTCCCATTGTATCGGCCTCCCTGCTGATTTACCCATTTCGCCTCTGAGCCACCCTCACGTTTTCCACGCTGCTCTGACACCAGGCGTTACCCCACAAGTCAGGAAAGCAGGAGGGGTTAGGGTAGTGACGACTCACTGTCTAGAAAAACCAGAAAAGAGTAGCAGTAAGACAAAGAGGAGCTTGGTTTATACTGAAATCAAAGACCACCCCAGCGTTGATTGAAAACATGCTTTGAGACATTAGGCAGATGACAGTTTGGATCATATCGTGTTCAGTGCTGCTTCATATTGTTTTTGTGACAACTTGACACAAGTGTTTTTGTCTTCTCTGTCTTCAGGGTTAAGGAGACCCCAGAGGGATGATTGGCAGCCGAATCCGAGACTTAACACAACTGTGAATCAATAACGCGGTGCTGCTCTAAAAGGTATGTTCAGCATGAGAGCGTGTTCGTATCATAGAACACGTGGAGTGCAGTCCTGACAGTGTGTGTGTGTGTGTNGTGTGTGTGTGTGTGTGTGTGTGTGTGTGTGTGTGTGTGTGTGTGTGTGTGTGTGTGTGTGTGTGTGTGTGTGTGTGTGTGTGTGTGTGTGTCGGTGTCACTGTATAGCACCACTCCTGACAGTCTTTAAGTGTGCAGAGATTAAAATATCCCCAACTGGGCTTTAAATAGAGTTGGTGGGAGAAAGACGAGGAGAGGAACTGGTGGGTGGAGGGACTGCGTATGACCAGAGCTAATTTAGGAAAACCAGTGGAAGAGTGCTGTGCTGAGCAAGAGAAATGAATCATAACCTGTGTGAACACTCTCCCATAATGCATTACAAATTTCTCATCACTTGCTTGAAAGTGTTATCATTACACTTCCTGTACAATTGGGGCTATAGTTTTTTATTTTTACGGTAGATTCTCAAATGTGTCAGCGGCCCGATACACATCTGGTATTAACATGTGTCTGTGTAGACACAAGCGAGAGAGTCTTAATGAAGCTCGAGTTTACCAGTTTTGTTTGTGACAAACAAATCAGTGAGAAGAGAAAAATATGCCTCGTGTATAGTGAAACTGTAGTGGGTCACAGGACGTCAGCTGAGTAGGCGATCTTTCATATGTGGCCAAGGACACGTTAGAAAACCTGATATGCGATAACATTGTTCAATATTGCGATGATGATACTTGCTATAAATAATACAGGGACCTGCATCTTAACACCCTCTATCTCATCCTCTGTGTTGTATGTGTGTGTCCAGATGTTTAATACTCAGATCATCTCAAACTGCTGTGAGATTATTAATTGTTTTTGGACGCTTGAACTTCTGTCAGATGTATAAAAGGGGGGATTTTTTGTTTTTGCATGTTCAGCACAACAGACGTGGGTTTGTCACACTCGTTTTAACAGCAGTGGTGGACATACAGACATAAACTCATCCTCTCAGGTCTTTGTCAGGTGTCTCTTTTGTTGTCTCTCTTGAATCAAGCGTTCTTTGAAGCTTGGGCTTCTGTGTATCTTGACACCTTTTGTGTTTATGTTTCACGGAGGGAAGCGAGTTTATCTCTCACCTTCTTTTATATTTTTCCCCTCAACTGTTTTCCTTTGTGTCGTCCCAGTTCGTGTGTGTGTGTGTGTGTGTGTGTGTGTGTGTGTGTGTGTGTGTGTGCGTGTGTGGGAAGGTGTGTGGGCGTTTTCATGGCACTGTTCCGACTCTCCACTCCACTCCACCTCCCTCAATCTCTTCCCTCTTCTCGGTCTCTATCTTTTCTCCTTAATCTATCCTTCCATCCTGTTCAGACCGTCTGTCGCTGCTGCCCCCCTCTCCCTCTCCATCACGCCTGCCGTAATGAGATTAAACCTTAGTGTATCCATTGGGCATACACACACACACACACACACACACACACACACACACACACACACACATACACACACATACACACACATAATCATCCACTTAAAGGAGAGCACACTATTCTCTCTCACATGCACTAAACCAGCACAAGCCTGACACAACCCTGCAGCTTGCACACTTGGCATTGCTTCCAGCACCACACACTCTTGTGCACAAACACACGCACACTTGGCACGTGACCAAAGCCTCTCACTCTTCGTCTTTCCCTCTGTCTCTTGTTATCAAGAGGCCCATAGTAAGGATTACAGTAACCCCAGGTCTGTCCTCATAGGTGAGCTCCCCACTGAGCCATCTGGGCCACAGTAATAATCCTGTTCTGTACTGACTGGCTTACTGGCGCCTCTTACAGGCTGCATGATGCATAGCAGCCAACTAAAGACAAAGAAGTCTTGATATTTTGTGTATTCCTCTGAATTAATTTTTTCCTTGAGAAAAGTCTAAACTATAACAGAAGCGGAAGAAGAGTTTGCCTCTGCAGTCACGGTCAATGCTTTTACCTGCCTCTCCCCTGTCCGTTATTCTACCTACACCCTCCCCTTTTGCTGACGAGCTCTTTAACTCAAACACATACACTGATAGCCCGTATAATAAAGAGCCCACTGCTGTACTGACTTTTCAGTGTGTCTGTGTTTCACCTGCTCTCACACTGGCTCTCCTGTTCTTCTCTGTGTCTGCAGCCAGTAGGCTTTTGGATTCTTGGTGCAGAAGAGTGAGACAGTCCAGATCTTCTCAGTGTTGGAGTGAGGCCCTCTCTGTGCTGCAGTGGAGGGCTTCACAGACATTGCTATTCTGGTAAGTATCAGTGCTCTGATATAACTTCTGACTCCGAAGCACTCATGCATGGAAGTCTAGAAGAAATTCTACCTCTAAATTAGTTTAAACCCCTGCCTTCAGCCTGTAATTTTAATGGGCTAACTGGTGACAAAGCGAGTGTTCCTGCAAAATGATGTCTATGTATGCACATGATGGACCTTCATAAAAAGCAAAACATTGAGAGATTAGACCACAATTTGAGATATTTTATGAGCTGTTTTATTGTAGGGTGTTATTTTTCATTGTTCTCTGCAGGTCAAGTGCATTAATACATATGACTGTTTTACAAATATCCACAGGCTGGATGCATCACGCAGTAGAGCAGTTTGGCGGGCGTGGCACACGGGATTCCTTCCCTCTGGACGGACTCAACCGGGGACCATGGGCTCCCGTGGGCGGCCGCGCCTGGCAGCCACCTGCCAGGTCTGTAGCCATGACAACACAGACATACAAACTTACACAAACCTCTTTGTCAACTTGACTCCACTGAAAAGTCATGATTTTACAGAGGAACTGAAGTTTTAGGATTAAAACAGCTAAGAACTGACCTGTGTCTGCTGTTTCTGTTTATCATCAGATGTTTACCTGGAATGAACCAACACCAGCTCCTTCCCCATCTACCTCCTGGTCCTATGGGCGGACTGAACCACCCCAGTAAATTCTTTAGTAATGGGTAAGTCATCCACAAAATCACCAGTGACAGACCTAAATTTAGAAAGCAGAAAAAATTATGAATCAGGCTTTTCTGTCATTTAAATGTCATTCTGTCTTTTTTTTGCTGTCCAGGCCCATTAGAGGAGGCGAGAAGGTTGATCTCCAACAGCCAATGTTACCGGGCCTGCAGAGGGAGCAGCAGAGACCTCCTCATCTTCATCCTCCCCCTCCTCACCGAGCGTGGGAGCAACTGGGCCAGCTGTATGAATCCCACCTCCCTCCTCAAGGGCATCCTGTTGTGCCCTTGCCCAATGAGCACTCCCTCCGCCTCCATAACGGAGGCTATGCTGGCAGTGGTGGTCCTCACCCAAACTCACATCTTCCGCACACCAGGCCCAACCAACTGCTGAAGGTGAGGAACAGACTTGTGTATCAGCGTAAAAATGTTTTTCAGACAAAACATTGACAATGTTCACACTTTCTCTGTTTCCTTTGCTTTAGTTTGGGGGTCCTCAGGAGCAGCATGTTCCCCGGGGTCCACCATTGCTGGGAGATGAGATGTGGGCTCAGGTGCACCAGGTAAGAGCTCTTTAATTGGCTACGATCATGTTTCATCATACGTATACACATCGTACAATCTATATTCTGGCTGTCGTTTCTGCTGCAGCCAGACAGGTCGAAGTCACAGACATCATCACTGAGCTTTGGAATGATCTGCCATAAAACTGATTCTTACCTTTTTCTATTCACAGCAGAGGGGCTACCCAGGGAAGATGCTTGGGGGTCAACTGAAGAGACCGGGCCCTCCGTTGGGAGAGCACTCTGTTATCCAGCACACTCCTCTGCCATCCCTGCACCCATCATCCCACCCTCCCTCTGCCGAGGACTGTCCCAGCCCAAGCAAGAGGAAAAAAAGTTCAGATCAGGTATTGAATACATTTATTTCTTTTAATACCAAAAAAGCCACGATGCAAGGTCTTTTTTTGTTTTGTCATTTTTATTGGTAATTATTATATTGTTTCACTCCCTGTGCAGGTATCCCACCCTGGGCTGCAGCGTTTCCCTGGTTCTGGCCAGTCTTTGTTGTCTCAGCAGCAGTCGTCAATCCACCATCTTCCTCAAAAACCTGCCCTCTGGAACCCCCTGCACAAGGACAACAACACTCCCTGGCAGCCCCACACCTCTGACCGCAAGAACCCACCATCACAGGAGTTCCAGGTCCGAACAGTAAGAAAATATCACTTCATTGACTAAACGTTAGTTGTAGCCAGGGGTTAATATTTTACTGTTGACCACAATCAATAGGCAAACCTTAATTGGATTGAGTGCTGCCGTAAAGATGTATTGAATCTATTAGCTGTCTGATACTCTGAGAGTATTGTTCACTGTGTTGCACATAACACTAATTGATTTCCTTTTCCTTGTTTAGTTAAGTACAGCAGTGAACAGATCCTTCAGTTTGTCACTAATAATCCAACTGTTGCTTTCTTTATGTACGATTCAACAGGAAAACAACAAACAAAGAATGGGCAGCTACACCCAAAAGTCCTCTCCTGCCTCTTCCACCCCTTCAAACCTCTCCCCTCCACCCAACTCCTCTCCAGGGAGCTACAACCAGGGATGTGCTCCTCAGCTCCAGAAAGACACATTCCAACCTCAGGCTGTAAACCATCAGTCCCCTCACTCTTCCTACTCCACTCCAGGCTCCAAACTAGGGTTGGCACCAACCTGCCAGGCCATGGAGCCTCGTGGTCCTCACAACCAGAGAGGCCCCCTCATCGGGGGCCAAGGTGGCTGCCAAGCTACCTCTTACACAGCATCTACCCTAACCAGGGGGGACAGAGATCAACACGTACACGCCCAATTGTCACCAGCAAACCCTCCTGCAACCAGCAGTAGCAGTGTGCCTTACAGCCACTTCCAGCCTCATCCAGGGCTGGGGCACCAGGGTCCCCCTCCTCCTCCTCCTCCTCCACTTGCCAGCAGCACCTCAGTATCGCAGCAACAGCCAACTGGGCCCCACGAGGCCTGGAGATACCAGAGCAGGCCCAGCAGTCACTCCCTGGTGAGCACACGTCATTCATGCAGTAGCTCATTTGTACATTGTGTTTTGGAAATAAAGAGGCTCAAAATCTAAAGCCAGGGCACAGTTGTTAAGAAAGAGCTATTTGTTAAATGTAATGATTTATATTGTTCCTTGTGTGTTTCTTCAGGAATCAGGCATCTACAGGCCTCCAGGACTGCTACCTCATCACCAGCAGAGCCACAATCAGGCCGTGGATAGACGGGTTCCCTCCCAGCATCACCATCACATCAGTCCTCTGCCCCCAACCAACTCCACTCGGACACCTGTCATCACCCCCAATGTTCCCATATCGCAGGCCCCCAGCTCCGTCAGTGGCAACAGCCGTAACTCCGGGGGTTTATCTATGGCCAGTGACGCCGCGGCAACCACATCGCCCCCTGCTGGCTGCTCTGTGAACAATGGCCGCACTAATAGCAGTTGGCAAAGAGGTCGAGAGCCAGTACTCCATACCTCCACCAGTGCCGTCATTAGCTCCACCTCTCAGCTGAATGCTCTGCTGCAGCCAGGTGGTCAGAGAGGACAAGCTCCCACTGCCAACCAGCCTCACCAACATGGGCCACCCAGACCACAACAGCAGGGACCCACCAAGTCTCTGCCCGTGAAGGGGAAGACGTCATATTATCCTCAGGCTGAACTGGAGCAACCTCCTGTATTTTCCTCCTCATCTTTGTTCTCCTCAGGGCACCAGAGGGCAGGGGACAGTGTTATAACAAGCAGAGTTTCAAATCCACTCCCTCGCTCTCCTGCTACTTACTGCCCAGCTCCTCGCTCCACTGTCAACTCTGCCTCTCAGCCATCTAATCAGATCCTCTCCTCCAGACTGGGTCATCGACCAGACTCTGCCTCCACACAGGTGTACGCTCAGTCCCACATTCATCCACCAGCTCCAACCGCTATGCCCCAATCCATTGAGGAGGCTCTAGACAAGCTCGATGCTGAGCTGGAGGGACACATGCAAGCTGAAGAAAGGAGGAAGAGGGACAGAGAGCAGCAAGAGAGAAAAGCAAGAGAAGAGGAGAGGCGCAAGAAAGAATGGGAGATGAGGCAAAAGCAGGATGAGGAGAGGAAGAGGAAAGAGCTGGAAAAGAAGGAGGAGGAAAGGAAAAAGAGAGAAGTGGAGAGACAGGAAGAGGAGAGGAGGAGGAGAGAATGGGAGAGGCAGGAGCAAGAGCGAAGGAGGAGGCAAGAAGAGGAGCGGAAAAGAAGAGAAATGGAAAGGCAGGAGGAGGAGAGGAAAAAGAGAGAATACGAGAGACGGGAGGAGGAGAGGAAAAAGCGAGAGTGGGAGAAGAAGGAGCGGGAAAGGAAGAGGAGGGAGCGGCGAGAAGCGGAGCGGCAGGAGCTGGAGAGAAAGAAGAAAGAGCTGGAGAGGCAGGAGGAAGAAAAGAAAAAGCAAAGAGAACTGGAGAGAGAAAAAGAGGAGAAAAGGAGGATGGAGTGGAAGAGGGAGGAGGAAGTGTGCAGTGCAAAGGGCAAAGAACAGACTGCTATTGAAAACCTGGAGAGACTACTCTCCAGCAACTCCTCTCAAACACCCCCACCCCCTCGCCTCTCTTCTGTGCCTGCCCCACCTTCAGGTCCTCCACCCCCCAGTTCGCAGGCCTCACCCATCTACCCCTGGCTGAGCCGCGGCGGCGTACTCCCCTGTCCACCAGGCCAGACACCCACCACCACAACTCTTGTAGAGAGGCTGCGGCCGCCTCCGCTTACACCTCAGACTGAGTACGCTCGAGAAAAGCAGAGGCAGAGGGAGATGTGGAGCAACAATGGCGGAACGACATTCAGTCCCTCATCAACACACAATACCTCAGGGATGAACCAGCCGGCATTCAGCAACAAGCCCCCGGCAATGCAAGCCGCACCCAACCAATCCAAAGACACATCCAGGGAGAGAGACGGCATCCATCACTCTCTCCCCAGCTTGGCACTTAGAGAGCCCCCCAAACTGTATCAAGCCTTCCCCAGAGAAAACCCTCCACCACCACCGTTATCCTCCAGCTCATCAGGGGGCATTCTCAAGCGGGTGACAGGAAGTGGCTTGGACAATGCCACCAGCAGCGACTCAGACAGTGCTCAGTTTGAGGAAGAGCCCTCGGAGTTGTCCACACTGCTCCCTGATGGTCTGGCAAACATAATGGCCATGCTGGACGAGTCTATCAAAAAGGAAGAGGAGATGTATAACAGCGAGAAGACCGGCTCCTCAGGTCTCCTCGACAACTTTTCTCCCGGTGTCCAGCCTATCAAGAGCTACCTGTGTGCCCCAGACCTTGTGCCAGCTACGAAGCATCAGCCCAGCCAGGAAGACTTTGGATCCAACCCCCATGCTAGTCCTCCTGTTCTCAGCCGTCAAGGCTCTCTGGCATCCCCCTGCAGCCGAACGTCTTCTCTCAACGAGGAGGATGAGGAATATCTTAAACCATCTCTAAATGTCTCCAAACAGTCAATGGACATGGGAATGGGAGTAGGAAACACCAATTATCGCCACAGTGACCTGGCTAAACTTTATGGCCTCCCCGAGCAGACAAAAAGTGAGGCTGATGAGGACGATGATGAAGAGGATTCTGAAACTCCATCTTGTTCACCACCACCCCAAAGACCCCACCTTCACCAGACAGATGTCAACAACATGTTCAAGTCCCGAGAAACAGTCCTAGAGAGCCAGAGGTACGCATATCGAGGTGGGCCCTTTGGGAGACCCCCTCCATCTGCTCTAGTTGGGGTCAAATACTCCTCATCGCTATCTCTAGGTCCAGATATTTGCCGTCAGCAGCAAAGTGGCTCCCCCACGTCAGATTCAACCAATCCACCGTTCAGTCCAGCTGTCCCTGCTCTAAAGTCTTCTCCCCCTCCTCTGCTGGAAGAAAAGAAACTAAAAATGGAGGACGCTGACATCTGGAGAGACAATAGAGAAACTACAGAGGAAATCAAAAACTCTATCAAAAGGGAGAGTGTTCCCACTATCATGCCTATTAAAGTTGTAAAGGAGGAGCAACAGCTGACAACCATCTCGGAGTCTTCTCTGGCAGAGTTGGGCAAGAGCTGCGAGGTCATTCTTAGTCAACAGTCACTTCCTAAGAAGAACCTTGATAAATCTGACAGTCATGGCAGAGTGGAGGAGAGCCACAAACCTGACAAAGTCAAAGAACGCAGAGATAAAGACAGAAACAGGGATAGAGAGAGGGAGAAAGACAAGAAAAGGAAGCATGGTCACAGCCACAGTAGCAGCAGAAAGCACGAAGACAGAAAAGAAAAGAAGAAACATAGAGAAAAAAGAGAGGAGATGGCACTTTCATCATCATCGTCATCTTCCACCCATTCCAGCTCCAGCCACAAACGGCACAAAGACAGTAAGAGCCATAAAGAGAAGAAGGATCGCAGAATTCTCGGTGACCTCAACCTCCAGAGTAAAGAGGGCTCCGAGAAGAACCGCAGTCACTATGAAAAGAAACACAAGGAAGCATCAGGTGCCAGCTCCGCCAGCGAAGGAGAGCAGGCAGAGTGGACCTCGCGGAGTTCCGGAGAAAGATCCTCTGAGCTCAGGAGAGGCTCCGAATCAGGTTCTTCATTGGGTTCCACAGACTTCTTGAAACTGAAGGCGCTGTCAGACGGGCCACCCAAGGAGCTTAAGATTCGCCTGATAAAAGTGGAGAGCGGCGACAGGGAGACATTCATCGCCTCTGAGGTTGAGGAGAAGAGAATCCCACTGGAAGAAATCACCATCAAGAACACAGCCAGTGAAATCATCAGGTCTTGCAAGTAAGTGCAATGTGACGGAAGTCTTTTCTAATAATGGATTTAATGTCACATTTCATCAGGCTTTTTGAATATCTCTGGGATTGGTTTTGAAAAAAAAAAACACCACATAGTTCACAGGGACACCTGTTCTGCAACTTGATGTTTAATATGTCTTCTTTTCTCCTGTTCCAGGGGAGCCAGAGTCACAGGGAAGTTCAGAGAATCTTACTTGCTGCCAGCCTTCTCTGTGAAGCCCGTCATGACCTCAGAGGAACCCATTCCTAGAGAGAAACTGAACCCTCCTACGCCCAGTATCTATGTATGTCACTATGTGCACTACATTTCTCACACACGTCACCTTACTTTAGCCTCTGTCTTAGGATGTGATACATTAACATTATAGCAAATAACTATAACATAGATTCCACTTTGCTTTATCATAGAGTACAGTTAATGCATTCTTTGAGCAATATAACATACATTTGACTTTATATTCAAGGTAACTGCGCCCTCTTGTGGGGCATGAAGAAAATATATGTGTGTCTGTGCACTAACATGACTTTTTTCCATGTGCAGTTGGAGAGTAAGAGAGACGCCTTCTCCCCTGTGCTGCTGCAGTTCTGTACAGACCCGAAGAATCCTGTTACTGTCATCAGAGGCCTGGCTGGATCTCTAAGACTCAGTATGTTTACACATCCAATTTGTTGACATGAGAAACTCGTTGTAATCTCTACTGATCCTTATGGATTAATGATAGTGACTCTAGCCACGTGTCATTGTTTGCACAACTTCCTCACATTCCCATTCTTTGTGTTAAGATCTAGGACTGTTTTCTACTAAGTCACTGGTGGAGGCCAACGCAGAGCAGGCGGTGGAGGTGAGGACTCAGGTGCAGCAGCCTGCTGATGAAAACTGGGACCCCAGTGGGACGGGTCAGACGTGGCCCTGTGAGAGCAGCCGCTCCCACACAACCATCGCCAAGTACGCCCAGTACCAGGCCTCCAGCTTCCAAGAGAGTCTCCAGGTACACATCATCTCACACTACACCTGTAGTAGTTCTGATAATGTTTTTATTATACACCACGTTCATTTACTCTGCATGTTATTGTATCCGTGTAACGGTTTTGTGTTGTCATGATTTCTGTCTTCAGGAAGAGAAAGGCAGTGATGAGGAGGAGGATGAAGATGATGAGAAGGAGAAGAAGCCATCCAGCTGTTCTGATACTCCCATCAAGGACAGCTCTAAAGAAAGTAGCAGGTAAAGACACTTTTCAAACCAAGCTAAACAGGAACAATCCAGTGTTAAGTAATTCATAATAATGTTGTAAAAATGTTCTTCTCCTCAGTGCTGAGCAGAAACCAGTGGGGAAGATCATTAAATTTGGCACAAACATTGACTTATCAGATCCCAAGAGGTGAGCCACACATCAAACACTAGTACTCTCATGACCTAACAGCATCTGTTACACACTAAATGTCTTTCCACATGTTGCGCTGCATGATTGTGGCCATGTCTCAACACTTCAGTATAATCCTGACAACTCCCTAGAGATTACTGTTGTTACATTGAGCCTGTTGTCTCTGTGCTCAGGTGGAAGCCCCAGCTGCAGGAGTTACAGAAGCTGCCAGCATTTATGCGTGTAGCATCAAGTGGAAACATGCTGAGCCACGTGGGGCATACCATCCTCGGCATGAACACGGTGCAGCTCTACATGAAGGTTCCAGGGAGCCGCACACCAGGTAGGGGAGCCTGTTATGTCTAGATTATGGTTGGGTATCGTTACCGGCACCAATACTTTTTTCTTCATTGCTACGGCAAATTTGGAGTTAAAATTTAAAACAGCGATTAAAGTGTACATAAGTTAAATATACAAATAAGTGGCATAACAAAAACACATAATAATCTTAGCAGCAAGTCTGTCATCAATCAGGTCTTTTGCATTAAATACAACCACACGTTTCACTGATAAAGCTCTTTGTGGTGCTGAGTTGGTGGTAGCTACCATAGGCTAACGTTACGTGCTGCCGAGCAATGTAGAGAGTGTGTGGCTATGTTTGTGTTGTCTGCACGCAGGACAACTACTTCAGTCCACACCTCAGGCACCAAAATCTATGTTGTTACTCAGTCTTGTGGGTACTGGTGCCAGTCTCTGTACCCAACCCTATAGGGAATACCTGAGTATAAAGATCTGTTCAATCTCAACAAAATCAAATCCCATTCAGCAGTACTGAGGACATGTTGCGTTTATTCAACAGGTCACCAGGAGAATAATAACTTCTGCTCAGTGAACATCAACATTGGTCCTGGAGACTGTGAGTGGTTTTCTGTCCATGAGAATTACTGGCAGGCCATCAGCGACTTCTGTGAAAAGTGAGTATACACAGCCTCATTCTGTTTGTCAAGCACAATTTTATACAAACAATAACTTACAATGTTGTGTGCACAGGCACGGTGTGGACTATCTGACGGGGTCCTGGTGGCCAGTGCTGGAGGACCTCTACAACGCCAATATCCCAGTGTACCGCTTCATCCAGCGCCCTGGAGACTTGGTGTGGATCAATGCTGGAACCGTTCACTGGGTTCAGGCTGTGGGTTGGTGCAACAACATCGCCTGGAATGTTGGGCCTCTCAATGGTAAGACCGCGCCACCTAGTGGCAGAATGCAGAAAGAAAACTTTTAGAAGACTGCTCTTACTCTAACACTGTCTCATGTGCAGCCTACCAGTACCAGCTGGCCCTGGAGAGGTTTGAGTGGAACGAAGTAAAGAAGGTGAAGTCCATCGTCCCCATGATTCATGTCTCCTGGAACGTGGCCCGCACCCTCAAGATCACAGATCCAGACACATACAAGATGCTCAAGTGAGTTACATACCTACAAATAGTCCTACTTATAAGTTGTGAAATTGCTGTATATTATGCTGAGGCTCATGTTGGCTGTGGTGCAGGAAGTAGAGCAGGTTGCCCTTAGAGACCAGAGAGTGGCCTCCTGTGGCACTGAACTGTCAAGACTTTTCCTATTTTTATTCAAGAGCAGGACTTCATGCTTTAGTAACATTCAAACATACACTCTGCATGTGCTTAGACACCCTGCGCTCCAGGGTGGTCGGTAGCATCGGACAGCCCTTTACTGCATGTCAGAGGATAATCAGTTGCACATTGGAGCATTAACAGTTAATAGTAACTTAATATAAATATTTGTGTGTTAACCTTCTTGTCAGACACTGCCTGCTGCAGTCCATGAAGCACATCCAGATCCTGAGGGACCAACTGGTGGCTGATGGAAAGAAGATTTCCTATCAGAGTCGGGTCAAAGATGAGCCTGCTTACTACTGCAACGAATGTGATGTAAGTGCTAGTAGTCAGTAACAAGTGATATTTATATCTGCAGTTCATTTACATTATACCAATGAATTTGAACTTAAAATGAGCATAAAGGTAAAGTTAATAAACCTAGCCAGGACTTGCAATAAATCCTACACTGATAAACATGAGAATATTAGGGCTGTCAGTTTAGCGCGTTAATTAGATTAATTAATTACACTACAAATTAACACGTTATTAAAATTATCGCAATTAATTATGAGTATCAAAGGTGGCTATTCAATGCGCGAGCATTTTAAATTTGGCCCATTGAAGGACCCGTAGGCTACTTGGCAGTGCTATGCCACTTCCTGCTTGCGTCGCTAGGCAAACAAACAAGGCAGAGTAACAACAAACGTGGACTCAGGGGAGCGAGGCGAGTAAATCGTTACTAGGGC